CCTACATCTCACTGCTGTGTTACCACAAGAAGTCCCCTGCCCTCTCTGGGCTCCAGTGGGCCTGGACTACCTCCCCCAGGCCTCCTTGAAAGGAGCTCAGTGCTTCAGCCAAGCAACTTTATGTGTGAGGGACTCTGCTGCCAGGTTACCTGTGCTAAATGCAAAAGGCGTTGCCTCAGGCTGGGCGTTGGCCCAATAGCACAGTGTGAGGAAGTTCAACCAGGCACACCTCGCTGTACACTGCCCCCCCGGCTGTGCTTCCTCAGGCGCAGATTCTCTAGAAACCCCACCCGCCTCTGCATACAGCTCTCTTTGCAAACTCAGAAGCTGCAGCAGGCATGGCACCTGACAACACACTCCATGTCTTTTTAAAAAGTTCTCCTTTGAGAGACCTGGAGAGATGGCTCAGTGGTTAAGAGCACTGGCTGCTCCTCCACAGGTCCTGAGTTCAATTCCCAGCACCCACATGGTGGTTCACAACCATCTGTAATGAGATCTGGTGCCTTCTTCTGGCCTGCAGGGACACATGCAAGCAGAACACTATACATAGTAAATAAATCTGTAAAGAAAAATGACCTCTTTTGAATATTTTTATTCTATGTGTATGGGTGTTTTGCCTGCATGTGTCTGTGCACATGTGTGCAATGCCTTTGGAGGCCAGAAGAGGGTGTTGGGTCCCCTGGGACTGGAGTTATAGATGCTTGTGAACCTGTGGAGGGGGGTGGGCGGCGGGGGCACGCTTGCATAAAAACCACATGTTGTAAATCAAACCTGGCTCCTAGAGATAGAGCCTACAATAAGACCCTAGTTTTCATGTGTTTTTGAGACAGGGTTTCACTATGCATCTCCTGGCTAGTTTGAAACTCACAGAGACACTGCCTGCCTCTGCTTCTGAGTGATGGGGATTAAAGGAAGGCACCATGTCAGCTGCTTTATTGAAGCCCTGATGTAGGTGACAGTGTGCTGTGGTGAGCTCTGCTCAGGTTAGCACCTGTAGAATGCCGTCCCACGAATTCTCAAATCTGAGATTTGGGGCTGGAGAGATGGCTCAGAGGTTAAGAGCACCGACTGCTCTTCCAGAGGTCCTGAGTTCAATTCCCAGCAACCACATGGTGGCTCACAACCATCCGTTATGAGAACTGGCGCCCTCTTCTGGTTTGCAGATATACATGGAAGCAGAATGTTGTATTCATAATAAATAAATAAATAAATAAATAAAATCTTTAAAACAAAACAAAACAAAAAACTGAGATTTGCCTCCAAACGTACTTAGACTTTGCTGCTGAAAACTACAGCTCCTCTGCAGGGATCCCTGGGTGTGCCTGCCGCACCTGTGCCCCTCCTTCCCCCAACGCACACAGCACCCACCTTTCTTCTTGTCCCCAGTCTCACGCTCTGCAGGCCGGCCACCCCCCGACAGGCGGAAGGAGCCCTCTCGGGCGAAGCTGGTGCGGGTGGGGTCGGAGGCAGCTGTGACTCCACCCTCCTTCTCCCGCCGCTGCTTCCTTTCCAGGCAGGCGGCAAACGCGCAGCCCACAGCGTGGCTCAGCCTCTCTCCCTGCAGGAGAGGGGGTCTGGTTAGAAATGTCACACCGGGTTGGATGTCTGCAGCCAGAGGACCCTGGCTGAATCCCTTCGCCTCTCTGGACCTGAGTGTTCATCTACCAACCAGCTGAGCAAAGCGTAGAGACTTGAGCTGGGGTGCAGTTCAGTTAGAGACCGAGCTACGGGTGCAGTCAGTGGTCCTAGTTACTCCAGGACTGAGACACAGTAAATCACTTGAGCTGGGAAGGTCAGGACCAGCCTGGGCAGCACAGAGCCCTGCTCAAAAAAACTCAAGACATGCCCAGCATTGTAGCACAATCATTTAATCCCAATACTTAGGAACAGAGACTGGCAGGTTTCTGAGTTCAAAGCCAGCCTAGTCTACATAGTGAGTGCCAGGACAGCCTGGGCTATATAGTGAGGCCTTGGATCAAGGAAAAAGGGAAAAAAAAAAAAAAAAAAGAATCAATTGTGGCTGGCATGGCACATAAAGTTGAGATGTTTCCTGTCAAGTCTGACAATTGCTGTGACTTCAAGGCCAGCCTGGTCTGCAGAGTGAGTTCCAGAACAGCCAGGGCTACACAGAGAAACCCTGTCTCGAGAAACAAACAAAAGGAAGAAACCAAAAATGCAGGTGGAGAGAGATGAGATAAGATCTCCCAGGCTGGGGCTGGAGAGATGGCTCAGAGGTTAAGAACACTGACTGCTCTTCCAGAGGTCCTGAGTTCAATTCCCAGCAACCACATGGTGGCTCACAGCCATCTGTTGTGAGATCTGGTGTCCTCTTCTGGTGTGCAGATAGACATGGAAGCAGAATGTTGTATACATAATAAATAAATAAAATCTTTAAAAAAAAAAAAGATCTCCCATGCTGACCTCTGGCCTCTGCAAGCATTCCCACACATCCACAACCCCCAACACACTCACAAATAAACACAACCACAGAGGCATACAGTACCTACGCTAGAAATACAAAACACTTCGGAAAAGGAACTAAAGACTGCCTAACAGACAGAAAGCTATCCTGTGCTCCTAGACTGGAAGACAACCCGGGTAAGACAGCAATATTCCCCGGAGGGAGCTGCAGTTAATGAAATCGCTGTGAAAACCCAATGGTGTCTTTGCACAAATGGAAAAGCTGCTTCTGAAATTCACATGGAATTCTGAGGGATAAAGAACAGCCCAGACAATTTCAAAAATAAAACAAACACCAGGAGTGGTGCACGCCTTTAATCCCAGCACTCGGGAGGCAGAGGCAGGTGGATCTCTGTGTTCGAGGCCAACCTGGTCTACAAGAGCTAGTTTCAGGATAGGCTCCAAAGCTACAGAGAAACCCTGTCTCGAAAAACAAAATAAACAAACAAAAAACAACAAAAAGAATTCCATGGTCACTATTTAAAATCTGCTGGGCCTGGTGCTTTATGCCTGAAATCCCAGCTCTTGTTCAAGGCTATCTTGGACTACATAGGAAGTTTGAGGCCAGCCTGGGCTACATGAGACTCTCTTAAAAACTCAAAGACAAGTCTGGAGAAGATGGCTCAGTTGGTCGTGGTGCGTGCTCTACAGACACTGAGGGCTTGAGTTTGAATCCCTCGCACCCATAAAAATCCAGGCATGGCTCCATGTAACCCCAAAACTAAAGTGAGGAGACAAGTGGGTTCTGAGAATGTCCAGCCTAGCCAAAATGGAGACCTGTGTCAAGGCAATAAGGAAGAGAAGGGAGGAATGTCATCAAACTTGAAGGTCACAACCTGTGCCCAAATGAGGTCTGACTGCCTGTCCTCAAAAGCCAACTAAAAGAACCAAACTAAGAGATGAGCAGAAAAAAAATGTATTCCGTGTGGCCATGTTGGGAGGAAGGGACTATGGGACCATGTGGGAAACTTGGCTGTGTATAATCACATGACCCTTGGAGAAGCCACTCCAGCTATGCCCAGAGTAGAGATGTCACTGTGCCCAACATCCCACACACAGCCAGGTGGCTGGACACTGAATCCACACCAGCAACCAACCACAGGCAAGCACGGTTTCCAGAAATAGCCACGGCAAATTTCTCGGCCTATGTGCTCTTCCAAAACTTCTCAGTCCCTCATCAGAAGTGGAGGCT